AACAAACAGCGGCAGCAGCAACCGCTATACAGCAGCTAGAAAAGATGACAGCTTTCTCACTCTACTTAAATGAAGTTACCAGCTATAAAAGTGTATGTTCAGAGATCACGTCATGGTTGTCACTGCAGTCCCTTAGGCAAGGAATTCCCCGAAGGGCTCACGTCACCGCATCGGGATCCGACATGAGTCACAAACTTGCTCAGAACAACGTTTCAAATTAGAATATTGAGGTGCATCATACGTGCAAAACACAACAACAAACAAAAGGATGAAACACACTGACAGTCACATACTTATCGAAGGAAGTTTAGAAGTCAAACTTCCGACAATATGGACAGATGAAAAGCAGAGCAGGGAAGAGGCAGAGAGAAGCAGATGCGAGAAAAGGTAGGAAAGTCGCGAAACACTCTGTTTTTCCAATGATTTGGGGCTCCGGAGGGTCGAAAAGTAGGCTTGCTAAAGCGGCGGGTGCGGAGCCAGCTGGCCAGATGAGAGATGAAAAATTGCACGCCGTTGTGGCGCGAAGCACATTTCGAAGTCAAAATGTACAAAACACACCATTGTCGGACCACTTTTGGAAGTGGAGATGTCGAAAAAGTGCACGCCGTTGTGGCGCGAAGCACATTTCCAAGTCAAAATGTACAAAACACACCATGGTCGGACCACTTTTGGAAGTTGAGATGTCGAAAAAGTGCACGCCGTTGTGGCGCGAAGCACATTTCCAAGTCAAAATGTACAAAACACACCAGCTCCGGACCACTTTTGGCAGTTGAGATGTCGAAAAAGTGCACGCCGTTGTGGCGGGAAGCACATTTCCAAGTCAAAATGTACAAAACACACCAGCTCCGGACCACTCTTGGCAGTTGAGATGTCGAAAAAGTGCACGCCGTTGTGGTGCGAAGCACATTTCCAAGTCAAAATGTTAAAAATATTAGGGGTTCGGACCACACGAAAAAGTGCACGCCATTGTGGCGCGAAGCACATTTCGAAGTCAAAATGTTAAAAGCACTAGGGGGTTTGGACTACTTTTTGGAGGTTCAGATGTCGCTTCACTTCGCTTCACTTCGCTTCACTAGACTACACTACATTACACTACACTACACTGCATTACACTACACTACACTCCACAACACTACAACTGCAACTACACTCCACTACACTCCACTACACTTCACTACACTAAATTACACTACACTACACTACATTACGCTACACTCCACCACACTACACTACATTACACTACACTACACTACACTGCACTACACTACACTACCTTCCATTACACTCCACTACACTCCACTACACTACACTCCGCTACACTACAACTACACAACTACACTCCACTACACTCCACTACACTCCACTACACTAAATTACACTACACTGCCCTACGCTACATTACACTACACTACACTCCACTACACTACATTACACTACACTACACTACACTACCATCCACTAAACTTCACTACATTACACTACAGTACACGCCACTACACTACAACTACAACTACAACTGCACAACTACACTCCACTACACTCCACTACACTCCACTACACTACACTACACTCCGCTACACTACATTACATTACACTACACTCCACTACACTTCACTACACTCCACTACACTAAATTACACTACATTACACTACACTACACTACCTTCCACTACACTTCACTACATTACACTACACTACACTCCACTGCACTACAACTACAGCTACACAACTACACTCCACTACACTCCACTACACTCCACTACACCCCAGTACACTAAATTACACTACACAACACTACACTACATTGCACTACACTACATTCACTACACTCCACTACACCACACTACATTACACTACACTACATTACACTGAATGACACTGCACCACAGATAGACAGGTAGACAGATAGATAGATAGACAGATAGACAGGTAGACAGCTAGACAGATGAAGGAGAGAGAGAGAGATAGATAGATAGATAGATAGATAGGTAATTAGATGAAAGAGAGAGAGATAGATAGATAGGTAGGTAGGTAGGTAGATAGTCTGAGAAAGAGACAGAAATAGTGAGAGAGATCAAGCACCTTTCAGTCCATCAGTGGCTTCGCTCTGCCATCCCTGATTCACAACAACCAACCTCTCCTATAGGTTTCCTATTTTTGAAACTTCCGCCACCGCCTTGTGCGGTACTACTGGTATATATATATATTAAATTACACCGGCATAGACCCCAGATAGAAAAGGTTGGAACTGATGGTTCCCGACGTGGGAACCAAAGGTTACCATGGCAAGGAACTGCCGGTTCCCAGACCTTGAAACTTACGGTTCCCAACCTGGGAACCAGAGGGTACCATTGCAAGGAATTGCCGGTTCCCAGAAGTTAGAATTTATGTTTTCGAAGCTAAGCAACTATCATTGCAAGGAACTGCGGATTCCCAAAGTTTGAAACTCATGGTTCCAAACCTGAAAAAGCATACGTTACCAGTGGAAGGATCTGTTGATTCCAAAAAGATAAAAATCATGGTTCTTAATGTTGTTTTGTTTTGTTTACTGAGCCGGTAAAGAACGCTTTGTTTTGCTTAATGGACCGGTACCGGAATGTTTGCATTTGGTTCATGGCAAGGAACTGCCGGTTCCCAAAGGTTGGAACTCACTGTTGCCAACGTGGAAACCACAGGTTACCATTGCAAGGAACTGCCGGTTCCCAGAGGTTGGAACTCCTGGTTCCCAACCTGGGAACCATGGGTTGCCATTGCAAGCAACTGCCGGTTACCAGAGGTTGGAACTCATGCTTCCCAACCTGGGAACCATAGGTTACCATTGCAAAGAACTTCGAATTCCTAAAGGTTGGAACTGATGGTTCCCAACGTGGGAACCAAAGGTTACCATGGCAAGGAACTGCCGGTTCCCAGACCTTGAAATTTACGGTTCCCAACCTGGGAACCAGAGGTTACTATTGCAAGGAATTGCCGGTTCCCAGAAGTTAGAATTTATGTTTTCGAAACTAAGCGGCTTTCATTGTAAGGAACTGCGGGTTCCCAAAGCTTGAAACTCATGGTTCCAAGCCTGAAACAGTAACGTTACCAGTGGAAGGATCTGTTGATTGCAAAAAGTTAGAACTCATGCTTCTTAATGTTGTTTTGTTTTGTTTACTGAGCCGGTAACAGAACCTTTGTTTTGCTTAATCTTAATGGAACGGTAGCGGAATGTTTGCGTTTGGCTGTTGGGCCGGCATAAAAATGTTTTTGCACGAAAAAGGTGCATGTCAAAATGATATGAAAACAGTTTCTTTACAATTTTATTGGTTTTGCTTCATGGACCGGTACAGAACGCTTTGTTTTGCTTAATGGACCGGTACCGGAATGTTTGCGTTTGGTTCATGGCAAGGAACTGCCGGTTTCCAAAGGTTGGAACTCACGGTTGCCAACGTGAGAACCACAGGTTACCATTGCAAGGAACTGCCGGTTCCCAGAGCTTGGAACTCCTGGTTCCCAACCTGGGAACCATGGGTTGCCATTGCAAGCAACTGCCGGTTACCAGAGGTTGGAACTCATGCTTCCCAACCTGGGAACCATAGGTTACCATTGCAAAGAACTTCCGTTTCCTAAAGGTTGGCCCTGATGGTTCCCAACGTGGGAACCAAAGGTTACCATGGCAAGGAACTGCTGGTTCCCAGACCTTGAAACTTACGGTTCCCAACCTGGGAACCAGAGGGTACCATTGCCAGACTTCGCCACTGCAGTCTGGACAGCACCCTGCACAGCACCCTGCACACCACCTTTGCCAGACTTCGCCACTGCAGTCTGAACAGCACTCTGCGCAGCACCCTGTACAGCACCTTTGCCAGACTTCGCCACTGCACCCTGCACACAGACTTCGCCACTGCAGTCTGTACAGCACCCTGCACAGCACCCTGCACAGCACCCTGCACAGCACCCTGCACAGCACCCTGCACAGCACCCTGCGCAGCACCCTGCGCAGCACCCTGCACAGCACCCTGCACAGCACCTTTGCCAGACTTCGCCACCGCAGTCTGGACAGCACCCTGCACAGCACCCTGCACAGCGCCCTGCACAGCACCTTTGCCAGACTTCGCCACCGCAGTCTGGACAGCACCCTGCACAGCACCCTGCACAGCACCCTGCACAGCACCTTTGCCAGACTTCGCCACCAGAGCAGCCTGCACAGCACCCTGCACAGCATCCTGCACAGCACCCTGCACAGCACCTGCACAGCACCTTTGCCAGACTTCGCCGCCGCAGTCTGGACAGCACCCTGCACAGCACCCTGCACAGCACCCTGCACAGCACCCTGCACAGCACCCTGCACAGCACCTTTGCCTGACTTCGCCACCGCAGTCTGGACAGCACCCTGCACAGCACCCTGCACAGCACCTTTGCCAGACTTCGCCACCGCAGTCTGGACAGCACCCTGCACAGCACCCTGGGCTCAAAAGTTCGCCACCGAAGACCCCACCTTTGAGAAGTAAGAACCCCTATAGCTTGCCAGCTATCTGGGGAAAAATCACAATAGATCTTGACAGCATACACCAACAGCCAGGAATATTTAGGTTCCCTCCCCAGCTGCGACGTATATGCGCGCAGGAGCAGGACTACATAATATTAGCCATGTATGTGACTGTATGTGCATACAATAAAAGCAGGTACGTTTACACGGGTCCGGTGGGTGTCTTCGTTGGCAACCATAGGCGCGCCCTAATTTGCCCCAAAATCTTCCAAGTTCAAGCGGGGGCGAAGATTCCCAACCCAACCCCACCCACCCTTCCCCAACCCGCCTCACAGAACAGCACGAAGCTCACGTCCAACTCCACAAAACATTAGCAAACCTTGTTCCATTTCTAGCGCAGCAACAACTGCATGCTGCCGCATGCCCAATGTCAATTCATGTCAGGTCCTGCTCCTGATCTTCCGCCTTCACGTAGGTTGCTGGAAGTTGGTTCTTTGGTCCGATGACCAAAGAATCAACCCATTTCTATCGCCAGGATTGCGGCACCTCGAAGAAGAGCACAAAGAAGTGACGTTGTCCACGGACAGTTGCGACAACTCAGAAACGGGCACACAAGAGACCGCCAAGAGGCTTAGAACGGACGCAGACAAGGCGAGGTCTCTCGGTGGGGTTCAGCTGGGGTTCATCAGGGCGCACTGCAGCGCAATCATAATCAGAGTGCAATGAAACAAAAAACGACGCTGACGCTCCGGAGGCAGACGACGGTGCTGATTGGATGGGTGCCATGAGCGCTCTGAATGCCCTCAGCAGCGAAGATGAAGCCGACGACGCTGACGAAGCTGGCCAAGGCGAAATTCCCGAGGTCGGGGTGGTGTGAACCTGTCTTCAAATTCTTCAGACGATCCAGAACACTGAAACAATTGCAGTGAATGGCAGCGGTTTGTCTATGAAGCACGAAACATGTTTTCCTCCGTGCTGGCATTTGTTGATGCATGTGGCTGCCGCGCCCAGGTTCACTAAATTATGGGACATTGTGTCACCTTGCTACTGCTGACGTGCAAACAATCATGAGCATTCTCATTGGTTCAGTCAAAACCATTTGCAGAACTGCTCTGGAGGCATCGTCCGCTGGAGCTTCATCTTCAAAATGAATTGACTGCTTTGAGGGCTGTCCCGGGCCAATACAGCCATGCACCGGCAAAGCATGCAGATAGACAGAATAAGATGCAGCAAGAGGACGGATCTCGATGTGAAATGCTCTGAGCAAGTAGCTCGCTGGGCTGCAAAGGCATATCAACTACTGCGCAAACATTCTGCCAAAACGACCTGCCACACGCGACTGCACAGTTAAAAAGATTGCAGGGCCGCTTGGACTTGCTGTGGTTCGGCGCAACGTCGAACCGGGTGGAAGACGGCTTGACCGCGGATTGGGGCACGGATTGACATTCGAGTATTCATGGAAAACTTAATTTGACCATTGGTTAGACCACCAGGAGCCGGCTGCAGATGGAGATGACGATGAAGGTCAAAAGCCCAAGAATTTTGTTTGGACATTGGATAGATCAATAGCCGTCAATAGCCAGTATCGCAGTGCATTTGCCGTGGCCCATTCAAGTCTTTTGTCGGCGATTATCAGCTTTGCTCGTTGATCGTTGCCTAAAGTGCAAGTGCTGCATCAGAGCTGCTCTACTAGGTTGGAGCACGGCCACGGGAAAGAAGAAGGGCCGAAAGGCCGGTGACAGCATGTCGCACGTTGCATGTCATTGCAGTTGGCACGCTTTGTCAAATTCAAAGACACTACAGTTTGAGTTTTGCGCACGCTTGCGCAAGCAACATCGCGAAGTAAAAACCAAACTAACGGACAGGATAACCCCACATGTCAACTCCCGCCAAAAACCACCAAGTAGATGTGAAAACGAGATGGGAAAGGCAGGAAAGAGAAAGGGCATGGGCTGGAAAGCTGTTGCGAAAGAGTAGTCAGTGAAAGAATTGCGTGTCTCAAAGTTCTGTGTCAAAGCATTACATGTGCGTGAAAGAGCTGTGTGTGACAGAGCTGTATGTGAAAGAGTTGCATGTGAAAGATGTTTTGCGTGTGAAAGATGGGTGATAGAGGTACAACAGAGGTGTCAGTGACAGAGTGATGCGTGAAAGGGCTGTGTGTGTGTGAAAGTGATGTGTGTGAAGGATTTGCGCGGGCATGCGCATGGTAATGTTGTGTGTGTGTAACATTTGAACAGATGTAAAACTTCTACATCTGCAGGGGGGCACAGAAGGCCCATAGAGCTGTGCCCAACGAAGCTCTCTGTGGTGCCCTTAGGATATCCACTCTGATCACCTGGGCATACCTGCTATTTGACGTTGTTTGTTCGATATGGCACGGGGCGAAGCCGAGAATCCCGAAGTCGCTTTTACATGTTCGCACGGGTTTCATCCTGGAGGGCTACTTAGGCTCGAGGATTTTATTATGTTGTTGATTCAAGGGAATCAGTTCCCAACAGATCACTTCAGTGATCCTTTTCTTGCCTAGTGTGTGTTGTGTTGTGTTGTGTTGTGGTGTGGTGTGGTGTGGTGTGGTGTGGTGTGTGGTGTGGTGTGGTGTGGTGTGGTGTGGTGTGGTGTGTGTTGTGTTGTGTTATGTTGTGTTGTGTTGTGTTGTGTGTTGTGTTGTGTTGTGTTGTGTTGTGTTGTGTGTTGTGTGTTGTGTTGTGTTGTGTGTTGTGTTGTGTGTTGTGTGTTGTGTGTTGTGTGTTGTGTGGTGTGTGTTGTGTTGTGTTGTGTTGTGTTATGTTGTGTTGTGTTGTGTTGTGTGTTGTGTTGTGTTGTGTGTTGTGTGTTGTGTTGTGTTGTGTGTTGTGTTGTGTGTTGTGTGTTGTGTGTTGTGTGGTGTTGTGTGTTGTGTTGTGTGTTGTGTTGTGTGTTGTGTGTTGTGTGTTGTGTGTTGTGTGTTGTGTTGTGTGTTGTGTGTTGTGTTGTGTGTTCTGTTGTGTTGTGTTGTTTTGTGTTGTGTGTTGTGTTGTTTTTTGTGTTGTTTTTTGTGTTGTGTTGTGTTGTGTTGTGTTGTGTGTTGTGTTGTGTGTTGTGTGTTGTGTTGTGTGTTCTGTTGTGTTGTGTTGTTTTGTGTTGTGTTGTTTTTTGTGTTGTTTTTTGTGTTGTGTTGTGTTGTGTTGTGTTGTGTTGTGTTGTGTTGTGTTGTGGTGTGTGTTGTGTGTTGTGTGTTGTGTTGTGTGTTGTGTTGTGTGTTGGGTTGGGTTGTGTTGTGTTGTGTTTTGTTTTCTTTTGTCTTGTGTTGTGCTGTGTTGTGTGTTGTTTTGTGTGTTGTGTTGTGTTGTGTTGTGTTGTGTTGTGTTTTTTTTTTGTGTGTGTGTGTTGTGTTGTGTTGTGTTGTGTGTTGTAGTGTGTTGTGTGTTGTGTTATGTGTTGTGTGGTTTGTTATGTGTTGTGTGTTGTGTGTTGTGTGTTGTGTTGTGTGGTTTGTTATGTGTGTGTGTTGTGTGTTGTGTTGTGTGGTTTGTTTTGTGTTGTGTTGTGTGTTTTGGTGTGTTGTGTGTTGTTTGTTGTGTGTTGCGTTGTGTGTTGTGTGTGTGTTGTGTGTTGTGTTGTGTTGTGTTGTGTGTTGTGTGGTGTGTTGTGTTGTGTTGTGTGGTTTGTTATGTGTTGTGTTGTGTTGGGTGCTTTGTGATGTGTTGTGTGTTGTGTGTTGTGTATTGTGTGTTATGTGTTGTGTTGTGTTTTTTTTTTGTAATGTTTTGTGTTGTTTTGTGTTGTGTGATGTGTTGGGTTTGGTTCTGTTGTCTTGTGTTGAGTGTTGTGTTGGGTTGGGTTGGGTTGAGTTTGGTTATGTTGTGTTGGGTTTGGTTGTGTTGTGTTGTGTCGTGTTGTGTTGTGTTGTGTTGTGTTGTGTTGTGGTGTGTGTTGTGTTGTGTTGTGTTGTGTGTTGTGTTGTGTGTTGGGTTGGGTTGTGTTGTGTTGTGTTGTGTTGTGTTTTGTTTTCTTTTGTCTTGTGTTGTGCTGTGTTGTGTGTTGTTATGTGTGTTGTTTGTTGTGTGTTGTGTTGTGTTGTGTTGTGTTGTGTTGTGTTGTGTTGTGTTGTGTGTTGTGTTGTGTTGTGCTGTGTTGTGTTGTGTTGTGTTGTGTTGTGTTGTGTTGTGTGTTGTGCGTTGTGTGTTGTGTGTTGTGTGTTGTGTGTTGTGTGTTTTGTGTTGTGTGTTGTTGTGTTGTGTTTTGTCTTGTTTTGTCTTGTCTTGTCTTGTGTGTTGTGTTGTGTGTGTTGTTGTGTTGTGTTGTGTGTTGTGTGTTGTGTGTTGTGTGTTTTGTGTTGTGCGTGATGTGTTGTTGTGTTGTGTTTTGTCCTTTCTTGTCTTGTGTTGTGTGTTGTGTTGTGTGTTGTCTTATGTGTTGTGTTGTGTGATGTGTTGTGTGTTGTGTTGTGTGTTGTGTGTTGTGTGTTGTTTGTTATGCTGTGCTGTGCTGTGCTGTGCTGTGCTGTGCTGTGCTGTGCTGTGTGTTGTGTTGTGTTGTGTTGTGTTGTGTGTTCTGTTGTGTTGTGTTGTGTTGTGTTGTGTTGTTGTCTTGTGTTGTGATGTGTTGTCTTGTGTTATGTTGTGTTGTGATGTGTTGTGTTGTGTTGTGTTGTGATGCCACACAAAAAATATGCCTTGCGCCATGGAAAGCGGTGAGCGGGACGAGGTGCGTGGCGTCAGCGGCAGTGTGTCCAAACGTGCGGGGGCAGACCATCATGGAAAGGGATGGTCTGCGACAGGTGTTTGGCGAAAGCCGATGGTTGTGTGTGTGTACCGTCTGAATAGACGTAAAACTTCGATGGCGACTCATCCCTATATAGCCTTTATATTTTAATCAAAGGAAGTTGGGAAGCAATACTTCCGAGTTACGGATGACTTTTACCTGATGAAGGGTGGTGTGAGACTTTGCACTACATAGCAATACATCACAAAAGAACAGACCTTGATGAAGGGTGGTGTGAAACTTTACACTACATAACAATACATCGCAAATGTTGCATGGGGCTTGTGTTGGGGAGGAAGCCGGAGCACGAAACCTTGTGTTTTTTTCTCGTAAAGTGGCTGCAGCCGGCGATGAAAGGTACCTCCTGTGTGCGGCGGGTGCGGCTGCGGTCGTTTCATGCGCGAATTTGTTCCTCCTCTGTGTTCTGCAACGGGTGGTTGTTCCTGTGTGCGTGGTTCTTTGCGTTTCTTGAAACTCTGGTTGCGGATCGCAGTGGAATGGCTGCGCGATTGTTGTCATGCTCTGTTGCCATGTGCGTAGAGAGATGCGGGTTAGACACGGGATGCTGCAAAACGAATTGTAATGGCTGCATGCATGTTGCATGGAGCTGGTTTTGGGGAGGAAGCCGGAGCACGAAACCTTGTGTTTTTTTCTCGTAAAGTGGCTGCAGCCGGCGATGAAAGGTACCTCCTGTGTGCGGCGGGTGCGGCTGCGGTTGTTTCATGCGCGAATGGGTTCCTCCTTTTTTCTCTGCAACGAGTAGTTGTGTCTATGTGCGTAATTCTATTCGTTTCTTGAATCTGTGGTTGCAGATCGCATTGTGATGGCTGCGTCAAGGTTGCTTCGTGCCGCGGCTGCATGCGTAATACTATTGTCTTTTGCAGCTCGACATGGTAAATCGTATTGGAGTGGCTGCATCAAGGCTGCAATAGTGATTTGTTAGCGGATTTTCTCAATTTTTGATTTTGCGTTACCAATTTTCCTTTTAAAATTCCTTTTAAACAGTGTTTCAAAATCGTCTTTTTTTCGCTTTGGCGCCGAGATCCGGTTTTGGAGCTGCAATTCCTGTTCTGATTATGTACAAGAAAGCTTCTCTGTGTAAAAACTTTTTCTGTAAAAGCTTGCTGTGTGTAAAAGATTTTGTGTGTAAAAGCTTGCTGTGTGTAAAAGCTTCTCTGTGTGTAAAACCGTCTCTGTGTAAAAGTTTCTCTGTGTGTGTAAACGCTTGCCATGTGTAAAAGCACTGTGCGTAAGTGTTCTGTGTGTAAACGCTTGCTGTGTGTGAAAGCTTGCTGTGTGTAAAAGCTTCTCTGCGTAAAAGCTTGTTGTGTGTAAAAGCTTCTCTGTGTGTACAAGCTTCCCTGTTTAAAAAGCTTGCTGTGTGTGCAAACGCTTGCCATGTGTAAAAGCACTGTGTGTAAGTGTTCTGTGTGTAAAAGTTTCTGTGTGTGTGTGTAAACGCTTGCCATGTGTAAAAGTGCTGTGTGTAAGTGTTCTGTGTGTAAACGCTTGCTGTGTGTGAAAGCTTGCTATGTGTAAAAGCTTCTCTGTGTAAAAGCTTGTTGTGTGTAGAAGCTTCTGTGTGTAAAAGCTTCTCTGTTTTAACAGCTTGC